TTAGGAAGGTAGGAAAGTAGGTGCATGAGTTAGTATTGTACAAAGAAGAAACAGTTTCTCCTAGGTGAGGAGGGTATGCAGACTTAGAAGACCCCATGAGAGCTATTGGCCATCAGTAGGAGTATAATTCTTGTGCATTTTGCGTCTCAGGTCCCCAACCTTACAGTTGGCCACCTCCTAACACAGACCAGACAATCTTTGCCCCCGAGTAGGCAGAAAACCAGAGAGAGCACTCCCTGTGGACCAAAGTGAAGCTCTCAGGACAAAAACGCAAGACGGAAGGAGAACCTGAGCTGGTTTTATTGGTGACTCCACAATAAAATTTGTTCACATGGACGTGGGTTCAGGGAGAACCACAAACTCACTGGACTGTGAAGCGAGCTTGAACAGGCTTATAGGACCTATGCCTGTGTCCGACCCTGTCATTCTCCTTCTTCAGACAAACCATTTTTAAACAGCACAACACAAACACACACAAAAGAGAGCCAAAAAAGGTGAAAGAGAATGGCCTGATTCCACCTAGGGCGCCAAATAAATGGACACCAATAACAAAACCCAGGTATCAAACGAGAATAAGTAGCTGAGGAACTCAACACAAAGAGACATTCAGAGCCAGTGCTGACTTATCACATCAGTGCAAACTCAACAAGTCACTCACTGCAAGGTGCAAGATGCCTCTATAGCAGCCATCCTGTTTGAAAATGGGAGTCCACACAGTGGGCAGTGCAGATGGTATCTTGGTGGAACCTCCAAAAAAACTAAAGACATTAATGAAGTCTGCCTGGATGAGAACAAGCAGAGGCTGTTTATTCAGAGCTCACTATAACGAGGGAGTCAGTCGCCATCATCACTCACATTCGTCAGAGCCTCAAAGACAGGCAGGGGAAAGAAAGACTGATAGTGACAAAAAGGGAATGCTCAGGTATGGTATGATTCAAGGGTGTTGTCATAGGGAAGCTGGAAGCAGGCTAATCAGAAATGAACATCTTGTATGATTAGTTTGGGGAACATATTTGGCTTTCTCTGACTGGTCCTAAGGTGGAATCTGGAGCAAAAATTAAGGAAGCTGTCAGTTATTGACCAGGTCCTGACCACTACCAGTCAACTGCTGCAGAAGCTGTGGTTTGGCTTCCCAGGCTGGTTACTGCAGCAGTTGTGGGTCAGAGTTCTATTTTTGTATATGTCCTGGCCAGAGTTTATATAAAATTTCTAGAGAAAAATATAAGAGAAAATATTTTTGCCTTGGGTTAGGCAAACAATTCTTAAAGATGACGTTAGATGAACAAAAGAATTTTTTTTTTTTTTTTTTTTTTTGAGATGGAGTCTCCCTCTGCTGCCCAGGCTGGAGTACAGTGGCGCTACTTCGGTCACTGGAATCTCCACCTCTTGGGTTCAAGCAATTCTCCTGCCTCAGCCTCTCGAGTAGCTGGGATTATAGGTGCCCGCCGCCACCCCACCTGGGTAAATTTTGTAATTTTAGTAGAGATGGCATTTCACCATGTTGACCGGGCTGGTCTCAAACTCCTGACCTCAAGTGATCTCCCTGCCTCAGCCTCCCAGTGCTGGGTTTATAGGCATGAGCCACTGCACCCACCCTAGATGCACAATAAATTTTTTCTAAATGATATATTGGACTTTAAGAACTTCTCTTTCTGAAAGACACTATTAAGAGAATGAAAATATAAGCCCCAGCCCATCAGAGGAGGGGGCAATAGAAGGAGCGAGAGCATCAGGATGGTGCTAATGGATGCTGGGCTTAATATCTAGGCGATGGGATGATCTGTGCAGCAAACCACCATGGCAACACATTTACCTATGTAACAAACCTGCACGTCCGGCACAAGTACCCCTGAACTTAAAATAAAAGTTTAAGAAAAAAAAGAAAATATAAGCCCCTGACTGGAAGAAGATATTTGCAAATTACATAACTGATAAAGAACTTGGACATAGATTACATACAGAACACTCAAAAAGTAATGATTAAAAAACCCGAATTTAAAAATGAATAAAAGACTTGAATAGACAATTTACCAAAGAAGATATATGGATACAAATAAGCACATTGAATTACACTCAACATCATTAGTCATTAGGGAAATGCCTATTAAAACTTCAGTTTTACACATCTATTCATCTATTAGAATGGCTAAAATGACGAACCATACTAGTTGTTGGTGAAGATGTGAAGGAATGGGCATCCTCATAAACTCCTGGTAGGGATCTAAAGGGGTATGACCATTTTGGAAAATAATTTGGCAGTTTCTTAAGAAGTTCTGCATATGCTTGCCATTTGACCCAGCCATTCCACACTAAAGTGTTTACCCAAGAGGAAAAAAAATAGGCATATGTCCATACAAAGACTTGTACATGAATGTTCATAACATTTTTATTTGTGAAAGCTATAAACTGGAAACAATCCAAATGCCCATCAGCAGATGAATGAAGAAGCCAATAATCATTACCCATATAATTGAAGACCACTCAACCATAACAAAAAGGAAAGAACTATTGGTACCCACAACGACATAGATGAATCTGAAAACAATGATGCTGAGTGACAGAAGCCAGACATAAAAGAGTGTATATCATATGATTCAATTTGCCATGACAATAATACTGGAAATGATTTCTATTTTCTAATTGTATAGAGTAGTCCTCCCTTGTCTTTGGTTTGGCTTTCCATGCTTTAGTTACCACAATAAGCTTTTGTCCAAAAATATTAAATTAAAAATTCCAGAAATAAATGATTCATAAGTTTCAAGTTTCATTCGGAGTAGCCTAATGAAATTTCATGCCATCCACTGCCTCTCACCCTGGGGCATGAATCATTTCTTTGTCTGGTGTACTCACCCTGTATATGCTACTAGCCCTTAGTCACTTGGTGGCCTTCTTACTTATCAGATCGACTCTAATATTGCTTATATTCAAGTAACCCTTATTTTATTTAATGGCCTCAAATCTCCAGAGTAGTGATGCTGGCAATTCAGACATGCCAAAGAGAAGCCTTTCTTTAAGTGCTTTCTTTAAGTGAAACAGTGAAAGTATAGGAAAAAAACATAGTAGATACACAGTTTGGTGCTACCCATGGTTTCAGGCATCTGGTTTCAGGCATCAACTTAGGGTCTTGGGACATATCCCGTGCTTAAAGTGGGACTGCTGTAAACACCTGTGAATTTTTACAATCAGGCCAGGAGTCAACCACAGCATTTTCCTCTTCTTCCTCTTACATGGAAATAATAAAACTGCTTATTTTCTTAAACAAAAGAGTTTAAGTCTCGTGACATTTTTATGGTGGGGGGAGTTCAAGCAATTCTCCTGCTTCTGGCTCCGAGTAGCTGGAATTACAGGCATGTGCCATCACACCCAGTTAATTTTGTTATTTTTTGCAGAGATGGGGTTTCACCCTGTTGGCCAGGCTGGTCTCGAACTCCTGACCTCAAGTGAACTGCCCACCTCACGCGATACGCCCACCTTGGCCTCCCAAAGTGCCGGGATTACAGGCATAAGCCACTGTGCCCCGCCTCTTGTGACATTTAAATGAAAGTTTCTGACACAGGATGTTATCACACTGAATTGCTTGTCTGTTATCCTGCCACAGGGACTCTCACTTCCCATCAGACAAACAGATTAGGAATCGGTTTCTTTTTCCCCTACAAAGGCAGGCACTGACTCCGCCCCCTTCTCACAGGGCAAGACCAGACAAACTCAAGCCACTGCTCTCACGTCCTAGAGGCTTGGCTCTAAACCACCGCCCTCCCACCGGCTATTGGTAGGGGAGGGGGAGAAACTATTGAAAAGTTTCCCCCATCCTCCCTCAAGCATCCCCTCCTGCCTGCATTAGTGCCAAAGGATCCCCTTCTGGTACAACCGAGACCCTCGAGATTTCAGCACCCCAACATTTTTAGTGACGAAACCATGAAAATTCTGATGAGGCCCTTGCTTGTTTGCACGTTAGCTACCCGCTTTTTGCCCAATATTCCTTTTTCTAGCAATATAATTATAAACTTTCGATGCACCGTTTCTTTGTCAAGCAGGAGGATATTGCCTCAGAGTCATAAAAAATTTTGCAGAAGGAATGAATGCCTTTAAGGGCATTGCGACCAGCTGCTGACGCCCGGAAGTCCAGTGGTTCAAGGTGTAATCTGAGACTAAGAAATAGACTTTCCCCCTAGGTTCCCTGAAAGTCCCCCTCCCTTCCTTCCTAGTCACATAAAAACTCCCCGCTACTTATTTTTGTTAGGGTGGATTCGAGAGTCTTGCCCTCTTGCCTTCTCGCTTTGGCCAAATGGAATAAATCTTCCTCTGTCTCCAAGCACCTGTGTGTCAGTGTTTGGCATCAACAGCACATCTGGTTCCTGAGCCTGAGCCTGAATTTGGGCTTCTACAACTCTGGCTCCCGGGACACATGCAAGAGGGAAACGGAATCACACCTTAGTCTCAGCCACTGCGGACAGAACCCACAGGGGCTCTAGTTAGTCACTGTATGGGGGATACAGGGCTTCGTGGGCTGCCCTAGTAGCCTGCCCCCGTTGTTACAGTTTCAAGACTGACGTTCCAAGCCAGGGGCTTATAGGCAAGCCTCTGGAACAAAGCCTCTTGTAATAGACTGGACATTGGCCCTATTTGTCCCCAGGCCACACCCATTTATCTTCATCCTCGGGAGGATGTCCTTCGTGCTCCTGAACCGTGGGGAAATGTTGCCAGGCTTGGTTTGGCAAGATTTAGGCTGTGCTAGGTCGGCGTCTCTCCCTCCACCCCAGCTCGCCCCGCGTTCCGAGCCTCCCCAGCTCCCGAGTCCTCCGCCGCTAGCTGTCGTTGGAGGTGCTCCTGAGTCAACAAACTAAATCTCCCCAGTGGGAAAGACGCTCTTCCGGCAGCGCCCAGACCCGGGGAGCTGCAGTCGCGGCACCTTGCCTTCACCACAGCCCCATAGGAGAACCCGCGCAGACTGGAGGAGGTTTGGGGAAGGCCTGGGCAAAGAAGCGCGGGGGATTCATTACCCGCCGGGATTCTCCTCTGCAGCGCGTCTCCCTCCAGGAGCAGGAAACGGAGCCTCCCAAGTCCAGAGCAGAGAAGATGATCCCGCGGGGTCCCGGGCTTATATCAGCTGAGCTACGTGACACCTCCCGGGGCGGGGCATCGTGCAGGAGACAGACAGAGGGACAGCCCAATCGCATCGTTACGTGGAGATGGACGCCCACTCCTGAAAAGACAACAGCCTTGGTAAACTTTGGGTGAACTGGGGAGAACTGAGGAGGGGAAGCGCTTTGTTGCTTCTCTGTGTTTTCTATTTTATTTTATTTTATTTTTAGATTTTCAGTTCTTATTTCACCCAGGGAAGCAGACCTGGGTATCCACCCCCACCTCCTCCAGACCTCCTCGGCCCCCCTCGAAGTCTTCCTGGGACGCCACAGTCTTGGAGAGCTCTCCGCAGGTTTCTCCGTCAGCGCCTCCAAATCTTTCGATTTCTACCCGAATTACACAGTCAGCTGCTCCAGCTCTGTGCTGGAAGGAGGGCAAGGGGTACGGCGATGGGGCACTGGAGGAAGGGAAAGCAGAAAATTAAGCCTCTGTTTTCGCCTCCCTCCTTCCCCCACTAATTTCAGAATGTTGCTTCCTCCTCCTTACTTTTGCTGGCGCTAAGGGCTCGGACCAGCACCTGCCAGGCGTAGGTGTGGCCACCGGGGCGAAACCTGGCAGGCTCTGGAAAGAGCGTTTTGCTGACAGGAAAGAGAAACTGTTCCTTGTATTCATCACCTACCGCAGACTTCATCACGCCCGGGTCTTAGACGGGGCTGTCAGATTTCAGCGTGTTTCTCCTAATTGTAGTACCAAATTTGTACTGGGCTCTGGCGAAGGGCCTGGCTCCGCCAAGCGCAGCCCTCCCGAACTGCCCGTGTGTGCGGCGAGCGCTGCTGCCCTGTGTGGCCTGTGCTGGGAATCCGAGGGCCGAAGTGGGCCCCGCCGCAGCACGAGGGGACGAGGGAACCAGGAGCTGGCTGCCTGGGGGCAGATTCGAACCTGTGCTCCTGGCGGATATAAGTAGCACTTGGGGACTCCTATTCAGCCCAATCCTGATTCCAACTGCCCTCTCTAGGTACCTACCCTTTACCCTTTTTCCGTTTTACAATTCTGGTGAGTAGATGTTTCTCTATCCCTTCTCTTCCAACTCCAGCGCCCAGAGCCAGGAGGACTCCTGGAGCCCGCCCAGCAAGCCCCTCTCTCTCCGATCTTCTGCTCAAGAGCTCGAGGTCTCAGTAGACCGAGCTGAGGAAAGGCCGCCTGTGGAGCCTGAGCCAGGCGCAGACTGGGTCGTCACAGTCTGGTCCGGGGCGCTGGAAGTCTTACTTCTCAAGAATCGGCAAGACATCAGGCCTGACCCTTTGCAAGTGACAGAATCCAAAGCTTTGAGCTCGTGGGAAAGTGGCTGGAAAGAAAGTCACTGCAGGGCCACAGAGGTCTCTGGCGAGGCTACCCAAGAACATTTAAATCCCTGCCCAGAGAAGAAGAGGCTCCAGTTGTCTTGCACTTCCTGGGAATTGGCAGTCCCTCAGAGCAGGGGTTCTGCAGCGACCGGGAGCGCGAGGAGACAAGGATGGTGGCCAGTTAGCAGAAAATCAAGGCAGACGGAACAGTCTGGAAAACACTACCTATGGTCACCTCTGGAGCCTGGGATTATGGGATAACTTTTCGATTTTTAAACGTATTGTCAAATAGCTAAAGTATACGGAAAGTACAAAATAGTAGTAAATTGAACACCCGTGTATTCACCACACAGTTTAAGCAATAACATTAGCAATATTTGTGTACCCAGCTGGTCTCATTCCCTCTTTCCACTTATCCCCTACTCACCTGATAACCAGTACAATTTTATGAATTGGAAGTTACTAATTCCCATGCAATTGTTTATACTTTTAGTACATGTGTATATGTCCCTCATCAACACATGACACTGTTTCAACACATTTATATGCATTTAAACTGCATGTAAATGGCATCATGTTGGCCAGATGCAGTTACTTACAACTGTAATTCCAGCACTTTGGGAGGCAGAGAGGGAAGATGGCTTGAGGCCCAGAGTTTGAGACCAGCCTGGACAACATAGCAAGACTCTATCTCTACAAAAAAAAAAAAAATTGTTTGTTTGTTTGAGACAGAGTCTCGCTCTGTCACTCAGGCTGGAGTGCAGTGGCGCAGTCTCGGTTTGCTGCAACGTCAGCCTCCAGGGTTCAAGTGATTCTCCTGCCTCAGCCTCCCAAGCAACTGGGACTACAGGTGTGTGCCACCACGCCCAGCTAATTTTTGTATTTTTAGTAGAGATGTGATTTCACCCTATTGGCCATGCTGGTCTACAAACTCTTGACCTCGTGATCTGCCTGCCTCAGCTTCCCAAAATGCTGGGATTATAGGTGTGAGCCATAGCACCCAGCCAAAAAAGTTGTTTTAAATTAGCTGGGTGTGGTGGTGCCTGCCTATAAAGTCCCAGCTACTCAGGAGGCTGAAGCGGGAAGATGGCTTGAGCCCAGGAGCTGAAGGATGCTGTGAGCTCTGATTGTGCCACTGCACAGGCAATAGAGTGAGACTCTGTCTCTTAAAAAAAAAAAAAGAAAAAAAAGTATCATATGGTATGTGTTCTGTAGAACTTGCTCCCACACTTTAACATTTTGCTTTAAAGATTTGTTCATGTATTTAGATCATTGCTTTTTTACGGCTGTATGAGCTGAATCATTTCTGCTCTTCTTTCCATCCATACCCATTGGTCTCCAAAGTATCCAGGCCTCCCCAAAAGTTCCTGCAGGAGACCTCAGTTCCACTGGCTTTCAGGTCATAATTGTTCCAGCACTTCTTTTCCATTTCCGCTTCCAGCCCTCCTCTCCCAAATTCTCAAGCTTCTAGAGGGTCATGAGAGAGGAAAGATGCCAAATGCCTTTGATAAAATGTCGCCTTTCCAGTGGTTTGCATGTTTGTTTGTGTGGAGTGGGAGGGAAGTGAGGGCAGATGTGACTTATTCTGAGTATTAATTCAAGTTTAAAAGTAAAATCTTTAGGTTTGCCTTGTCCAGTAACAAATGCCAAGAGCCATAACTGCTCATTCTCTCTCTCTCTCTCATATACACACACACATACACACTTGCTTAATGCAATATCTACACTGTTTTTGCTTCAACAAACTAAATAGGCGAAGAGAGGTGGTAGGTTAAACGGGCATGCTATCTTATTAAGGGCAGTCATTCTCTCACAGAAAGAATCACTGTATTAGTGTAGGGAGAATCACTGCCTACGTCAGCTGTGTGTCGATGACCTCTGTCACTGCCCCCAGTCTGCACAATGAGACTGGAGGCTGCGTGCCATGGTCTACAGATTCCTCACTACAGAAAACTTGCTCCGACATTCTCCATGAGAGTCACAGCGAGATTGATTATGGCGGTCAATGCTCAATGGCATTGTGGCTGGCCAAGTTTTTTTGCAGACACTTTTACTAGGGGACTGAGGATTATAGGAGCAAGCCATCTTAGCATAGAGCCCTATCTGTGTTTCCACAGACTGTCTTTCAAACCCAAGCAACTTGTTCATAACATTCACTTTTCAGGCAAAAACGTATTTTCCACTTTTTTTCTTTTCTTGATAAAAAGTTTAAAAAATAAAGTTTGCATAAACACGTGTGTGATGTTTCTTAGGAACAATGTGTGCCATTTGACAAAGTGTGGTGAAATTTTGTCAGAACAAGTTTACTTGAAGGAGGGATGAGACATCCTTTATCAATGTTTATATGAATCACACGCATCAGAGAGAGTGGGAGGGAGAATCTTGGTTCTCTGGCACTCTCAGTACCCACATTGAGATCCAAGAGTGTCCTGATGATTTTCCTGTCTCAGTAAGTAATTAAGCTTTTCCTGAAGGAGCTCAGTTAAGTCCAAGCTTAATTTCAGTCCAGTCCAATGTTTAATTTGCTTTTTAAGCTACAGGAAATGAAAGCGTGACTCAGAATTTTCTCTATGTATCCCCTCAGATCTTTAGCACACTGAGAGTAGTTACAGAGTCTCAAAGCATATCCCCACAAGATGCTTTATTTATTACAAAGGAAAAAACACTAATTTTCCAGAGAATCCTGGAATATATCACCTTAACCAAGTTATCAAGATTAACATCATTAGTAACAGGAAAAATTAAATTGCCTGCCACTAAAAAGAACAATTTTTATTTCTTATGTATTCCTGACCCAATAAAACAAAACAAAACAGCACAATGAGAATGTAACTATAAGGAAACATTAGAGGGTTCAATGATGCCCACCTGTAGTCCCAGCTACACGGAGTTTGAGGCAGGAGGATTGCTTGAGGCCAGGAGTTCAAGACCAGCCTGGGCAATATAGCAAAACCCTGTCTCAAAGGGAAAAGAAAAGAAAACATTAAACAAATCCAAACCCAAATTGAAAGACTGTTCTAGATTGAAAAACACTAAAAAGACAAGACAAAGTCACCATGTAATCCTAGGCGGGAGCTTGGACTAGAAAAAAATTTCTTTTTGCTATAAAGGACACTCTGGCAATTGTGAGAATGCACTTCAAAGACCTCAACTTGGAGCTTAATTCACAAAGGACCCCAGCTGCCTCACTCTTCCATTGCATGTTTGTATGAAGGCCATGCTTCCATGGGTTGCTCCCAGCTGATGACTGAGTATAGCAAGGACAGGAGGGCAGGCCTTCTCCTGGGAGACAAAGGATGCTTATAATGGCCAACTTTTGCTTGACTTTGAGTGACTATCTGGCATAGTTCCACCCAATCTTTTTCCCCCTCTCCTCCACACAGGATCAGACTTGCATCATGGTGTGACAGCTCTCTCATCTTTCGTTGACTCCCAACTCTCAGCAAGATGGAAATGCCCAAATTCCCCTGACATATGGTAGAGGAAGAAATAAAGAGTTTGAGGGAAATGAGCATGAAGGAATGGCTATATTAGGTAAGACCAGAAGTAATCCTGCTAGAGGATTTTGTTCTATGACATGTCCCAGATTACACACCACTCACCAAGACCACCAGAAAGCACTGGTGAGAGGGGCATCTGCATCAAAGAAGTCCAGTGATGGCTGTCCACTGCATGCCAAA